GACTGTGGTGTCCTTGGCACTCTCTGAGCTTGCTTGTTTTTCTTGCAGACGTTTCATGACCCATCTAGGCAACATCATCAGTGCTAGTAAGGAGCGCGGTTTGCTGCCAGTTTATATCCTATTAGACCTTGCCCAGTCAGTGTTGCTGGTCTTAAAGAGAGATTCTGCTGTTTGCTGAATGGGCTTCTTGGGCTGCTTCTTGATGGGGGTATTCCAACCCAGCACTAGCACTGATGATGTGACCTAGTTTGGGTCACGAAATGTCATGAAAGGAAACTAGCCAGCTCGGAGAGCAACGTGGACCCATCATGTCAACCCTTGAGCTGCAAAAATATCCTCCTTTACTGTTATTGAAACAACTAATTTGAACTTCATTGGACACTACAAGGATGGCCGGGGAAGAGGGCTTGAAACAAGGGGGGAAGTAACAGAATAAAAAGAGTTGGAAGGGACCTTCAAGGTCTTCTAGTCCACCCCCCCTCAGACAAATTGAAGATGGTTGTCCAGTCTCTTCTTAACCTGGTTTTACGTGGAAAACTTCAGACCTGGCTTTCCTACGCTGTAGCCAATTAGCTTTAGTCAAAGTAGACCTTTCGCTGCAACTGGGAGTCAGGGGTCCAAGCTGAGACAAGCCTGACCCGGGATCCCCTACCTACCTTCAGGCCCTTCCTCTTCCCCGACTGGACCACTCGGCGGTTGGGCGGGTGCTTCTTGTGGATCCGGTTCAAGAAATCCACCTTCACCGCGTGCTGCGAGATGGTGTCCTGGAAGCGGTCGAACACCTGGCACCGGTTGCTCAGCGTCATGTTCTTCTGGTTCAGCTGTTAAAAGAGGAGGGAGCGGCCTAAGGGAAACCGGCCGGCCATTCCTCCCCACCCACCCCCGCCCACCCCACCCGCAGCCCCCGATCCCGAGGCGAGACCCCCGGCTTACCACCACGTGCTCGATGTGATTGGGGCACATCCACCGGCCCAGCGGCATGGCCGTGAGGGGGGGCTCCAGGCAGTCCATGTGAAAGAGGAGCGGGCAGTAGTCGCACTGGATCAGAGGGGCCACGCGGCAACTCCTGGAAAAGAAGACCGGGAATCCTGACTCCAGGGAGAAAAGGCGGGAGGAGGAGGCGGCGCCCTCTTACGCTTGGGCCCGTTTCCTGGGGTCATCCACGCTTCCCACCCTGTGACACCCCCAGCCCCCCTTTCATCCAGAAGACAGGGGCCACCGGGAACCGGGCCTCAACCCTGCTGCAGGCTCCCCTTGTAACGTGAGAGGCCACTTCACTTGGGTCCTGCAAGCCCAAACGTGGGGAAGCAGAGAGAGAGGAATTCCACCAGGGAAGGACAGAACCGGAAAGGACCACGGAGGGGCTTCTAGTCCAGGGGTCCCCAACCTTGGCAACTTGACGACTGGTGGGCTTCAACTCCCAGGATTCCTCAGGCAGCTTTGTTAAGACTTCAATTCTATGCCTGCTTACTCTCTTGTCATCCTTTCCTCTGCAATCTCTCCACTCGAGGGAGTAGGGGGGGAAAAAAACAACAACAACAGGTATAGTTGAATGGGGAATTCTGGGAGTTGGAAGTCCACCAGTCTTCAAGTTGCCACGGTTGGGGACTCCTGGGTTCTAGTCCAATCCCCCGCTCATGCAGGAGACTTTACACCAGTGGCGGCTAACCTTTTGGGGCTCCTGGGACAAAAATGGTGTGCGATCCCCCCCCCACACCACCCCCTTACCTACACTGCACCTCCCAGGTGATTTCCGGGCCTCTTTCGGCTTCCCGAAGGTTCGAGGGAAGCCTCCGCGGCCTTCGCAGGCTGAAAAATGGGCCCGTTAATGACAAAACGGCCCATTTTTCGGCCTGCAAAGGCTGCAGAGGCTCCCTTCAAGCCTCTGGGAAGCCGAAAGAGGCCCGGAAATCAGCGGGGAGGTGCGCGTGTGCGCAGTGAGGTAAGTTTGCCTGGGGTTCGTGTGCTGGCCCAAATGGTTCTTTGTGTGCCACCTGTGGCAGGTGTGCCATAGGTTCGCCCTCACGGCCTTACACCTTTCCAGACCAACGGCTGCCCAGTCTCTTCTTAAAAACCCTCCAGTGTTGGAGCACCCAGCAACTTCTGGAGGGAAGAAGTTCCACTGCCCAGTTTTGAATGTTTGCTGATCTGAACGGCATTCTCATCCCCTCTTCCTCCGGAATAGCAGAATTGGAAATGACCCTGGAGGTCCTCTAGTCCAGCCTCCTGCCCAAGCAGGAGACCTTATGCTATTCTGGACTATGGCTGCCCAGTCTCTTCTGAAATACCTCCAGTGATGGAGCACCCAACAACTTACCAATCAAGGGAGAATATTTGCGGCTGAGGCTTGGAATGAGGGGTCCTTGGTGCTCTCTGAGCTGGGTGGTTTTCTTGCAGACCTTTCATGACCCAGTTTGGTAACATCATCAGTGCTAGATGGGAAGGGGATTTGCGGAGAGGAGGAGGAGGAGGGGGATGACCACTGTGGGGTCCTTGGTGCTCTCTGAGCTGGGTGGTTTTCTTGCAGACCTTTCATGACCCAACTAGGGAACATCACTGCTAGAGAGAGAATGATTTGCAGGGAGGAGGAGGAGGTGGAGAGGGGGGAGGAGGAGGAGGTGGGGGGAGAACTGTGGAGGTCCTTGGTGCTCTCTGAGGTGGGTGGTTTTCTTGCAGACCTTCCATGACCCAAACTAGCTCACAATATCAGTGCTAGTATCGATGATGTTTCCTAGTTTAGGCAATGAAACATCCGCAAGAAAACAGCCATGTTGAAAGAGCACCAAGGACCCACAACTTCCGGAGGGAAGTTAGTTGCACTGACGGATTGTTCTTCCTGTCAGGAAATTTCTCCTCAGTTCCAGGTTGCTTCTTTCCAGCAAGCCAAGGAGGGAATCTTACGCTCAGGTGAAGGCAGGGCACCTCTTGGGGTGGGTTAAAGGGATTGGAAAGAGGGTGCGTGTGTGTGTGTGTATATGCGTGCTGCAGAGATCCTGAAAGGGAGAACACTTCCTGTTCCCAGGCACAGATTAAGACCCCCTCCCCCCCAGCCCAAGCCCAGCCTATTACCTGCTGCAGGTGAAGCAGACTTTCACCGGCAGGGGGACCAAGCCATTGTGGTCCAGCTCATGCTGTGCTTTCTTGACATTCTTCCCGGAGGTCTCTTCCTTTCTTCTCCGCTTACTAGTACCTGGAAGGGCACAACAGGAAGTAGAATGGGACAGAACAGGAAGACAAGTCGCTCTGGGGGGTGGGATGGGTGGCCTCTAAACACGTCCACAAACACGTGGAGAACACGCACAGACAGACAAAGACAGACAAGAGAGACAGGATAGATGACAGGTGATAGATCTCTAAATTGGATGCACACCAGCACACAGAAATAAAGAGATGACAGGTATGTAGATTGATGGTATAGAGATAGGGCTCTTTAAATTTGATACACACAGGGAGGAGATACACAGATAAGATAGCTAAATTTGATACACACAAATACACACACACACACAGGGGATTGATAGATCCCTAAATTTGAGACATATAAACATATACCCACACTGGGGGGACGGAGGTGGGAGGAGAATGACAGATGCTAGATCTCTAAATTTGATACACACAAGCACATACAGATAGATACCGTGTTTCTCACATCATAAGGCCGGGCCTTATTTTTTTTTTTTTTGAGCCCTGAAAAAACGGCTAGGCCGTCTTTTCGGGGGTGATTTAATTCCCCCCCTTGCATCCTCGCCACCAGCCGCTCCTAACGGGCGATCATGGCCAAGCGCAGAGAGCTCCCTACTCCCACCTTTGCTGCAGACACCTTTGGCACCCGCCGCTGTTGCTTTCCCTTCTGCCCATTACGCCGCCACGTTTGGAGCTGCCGCTTCCGTGTTTGGAGTGCCGCCGCCCTTTGGAGCTCCAAACGCGGAAGTGGCAGCTCCAAACATGACGGCGGGCGATCTTTTTATTTTGGTCCACGCGAAGTTCAGAGCGAGCAAGAGAGGGAGACTGCGATGCCTCCGTCCGAGATGGCAACCTCACTCGTGGATCACAACGTGGCTGGAAGCCCGAATCGGCGGGATACGATGGCGATCTTTTTGGAGCGAGAGGAAAGGGAGAGAAGAGTTGCGAGGCGTAATTTGCAGGAGGAAGTGGGTGTACCCCACGGCAGGGAGCCCAAGGAAGAAGGGCCGGTAGGCAACGGAGAGCGTCCCGTAGCTCCGGAAGCAGCCTAGAGACGCGCCCGGGAAGAGGCGCAGATGCTGCCTTGTAGTCCCCAAACCAACTGCGTGCGCCGCCTTTAGTTATGTGCGCTCCGCGCTTTGGGCATCTCCGTGTGATCGCGACCCTGTCCTTTCCACCTGGCGCCCTTGCTGCTTTCTGGCTCTTTAGCAACCGGCTTCACGTTTGGAGCACTGCCGCTGTTTGGAGCTCCAAATGGCGGCGGCAGCTCCAAATGCGGAAGCGGCAGCTCCAAACATGACGGCGGGCGATCTTTTTATTTTGGTCCGCGCGAAGTTCAGAGCGAGCAAGAGAGGGAGACTGCAATGCCTCCATCCGAGATGGCAACCTCACTCGTGGATCACAACATGGCTGGCTGTCAATATCTACAAGGAATTATCTCCTGGCAGAAACACGAAGCCGGTTGCTAAAGAGCCAGAAAGCATCACGCCGTCATGTTTGGAGCTGCCGCTTCCGCGTTTCGAGCTGCCGCCATGTTTGGAGCTCCAAATGGCGGCGACACTCCAAACACGGAAGCGCCAGCTCCAAACGTGGCGGCGGAATGGGCAGAAGGGAAAGCAACAGCGGCGGGTGCCAAAGGTCTTGGGTTTGCAGCAAAGGTGTTTGGTGGGAGTAGGGAGCTTTCCGCGCTTTGCCATGATCGCCCGTTAGGAGCGGCTGGTGGCGAGGAATTGCTGCCCGCGGGGCGCTCCTAACGGCAAGTCCCCCCGCCCTCCCCCCTTATTTTGCATGTTTTAAAATAGGCCTAAATTTGGGGGGAGGGGCTTAATTTGATTTTATGCCAAAAAACATGCTGGGCCTTCCTATTGGTGGAGGCCGTATTGTTGGAGAAACACGGTAGATAGATAGAATGATAGATAGATTGATTAGATAGATAGATAGATAGATAGATAGATAGATAGATAGATAGATAGATAATGTTGATAGATTAGGTAGGTAAGTGGGTATATAGTGGATAGTTATGTAGATAGATAGATGATAGATGGATAATAGATAGATGATAGATATGTTGATAGATTAGGTAAGTAGGTAAGTAGATATGTAGATCGATTGATCGATCGATATGTTGATAGATTAGGTAGGTATGTATGTAGATAGATAGATAGATAGATAGATAGATAGATAGATAGATAGATAGATAGATAGATAGATAGTAGATAGATATGTTGATAGATTAGGTAGGTAGGTAGATAGATGTATAGATAGATAGAAATAGGTAGGTAGGTAGATATATATATATATATATAAATAGAGATAGACAGACATAGACAGACATATGAATGGATGATAGGCCGACTGATGATACAGAGATCTCTAAATGTGATACACATATAGATGACAGACAGATAAGGCTAGGCAGAATTTGGGGACCCAAAGGGGGAAATATGCGCACGCCCACCCTCAAGGGCCAGGGGTGGGCAACGATGGCTCCCTTTATCACCTGTGGACTTCAACTCCCAGAATTCCTGAGCCAGCGGGAAGTCCACAGGCCGTATAGTGGTGGGGGCCATCGCTGCCCACCCCTGTTCAAGGAGAAGACTGCCCTCCTTGGCTCAACCACCAGACCCATGTTCCTGGTCCGGGCAATGGCGGGAGCGAAGCCGAAGCCCACCCGGGGGCGTTCCTCCGGCCCTCTGCGCAGCCCCTTGCCAGGAGCCGCCTACGCGGCAGGGCCAGTGCCGACCGGCTCCCTCACCTGGCAGGGCTGTAGTGCAGGTGAGCTCATTGGGCAGCTGGAACTGGGTGGGGTTCCTCTCCATGGCGGCCGCGATGAGCAGCTCGAAGGGCCGCTTGAGGTGAGGTTGCCCACCCTCGGCTTCCGCCCCGGTGCCCGAGTCCTCGTCCACGTCGATGATGTCCTCGTCCACGTCGTTCTGCTCCGAGGAGTTGGGGGTGTCGGTGCTGGTGTTGGAGGTCGGGGTGCCGGGCCGGCTCGCCCTGCGCTCCAGGAGCCGGGCGTGGGGAAGGGTCCGGAGGCTCCCGCCGCCCGCCCGGTCCAAGTAGTCGGCGTCGCTGGTGGGAGACGAAGTCCTCTTGCCGGATTTGTCGACCAAGCCGTTCATGTGGCCGAGTTCCTTCTTCTGTTCCCTCTTCTGCAAGGCACAAAGCAGCAGCTCTGTCAAGTCTTCCCCTGGAAGCCTCCGCACCCCCCGCCCCCGCCCGGCACTCTGCACGCGTGCGTGTGAGAGAGAGAGGGACAGACAGACAGGCAATCAAGCCAAGGATAAGTAGAAGGTAGGTAGGGAAACACCGTCAATACACACACACACACACACACACATAACTAGATCAGGGATGTCGAAACTTGATTTCACTGAGGGCCGCATCAGGGTTGGGTTTGACAGAGAAACGCGTATAATGAGAGAGAGAGAAGGAGAGAGAAAGAGAAGAGGAGAAAGAAAGAAAGACAGAGAGACATAGAGAGAAAGAGGGAGAGAGAGAGAGAGAAAAGAGAGAGGAAGAGAAAGTAAAAGAGAGAGCAAGACAGAAAAGGGAAAGAAAAAGAGAGGAAAAGAAAGAAAGAGAGCAAGAGAGAAAAGAGGAAGAGAAAGAAAAAGAGAGAGGAAGAGAAACAAAGAGAGCAAGAGAGAAAAGAGAGATGAAGAAAGAGAAAGGGAAAGAGAGAGAAAGGAATAAAGAGGGAGAGAAAGAAAGAAAAAGAAAAAGGCAAAGGGAGGGAATATCTTTTCCCAGAACCCCAAACAAGTCACCGTGGTGGCTGTTTCATGACACAGTTTTTCTATCATTACAGGTAGTCCTTGACTTATGACCACAATTGAGCCCCAGTTTTTTTTTGTTGCTAAGCAAGACAGGTTTTCAGTGAATTTTGCCCATTTTTTCATGACCTCCCTTGCCACGGCTGTTAAGTGAATCACAGCCGTTGTTAAGTTAGTCACACGGCTTGTTCAGGGAACCTGGCTTCCCCAGGAACTTCGGCTTGTCACAAAAGGGGAAGTTGCGACTGTCGTGAAGGTAAGCCAGTTGCCACGTGCCTGAGTTTTGATCACGTGACCGGGGGGGGGGGGGGGGGTGTTGCGAAAGACTGTGAAAAAAAGGGTTATAAGTTACTTTTTGAGCAGCAACTTTGAACGGTCACTAAATGAACTGTTGTAAGTCGAGGACTACCTGTACAGGACTACCTGGACTTATAATTATTTGCTTAGTGACCGTTTGAAGTTTCAGTGGCACTGGGTGGGGTGGGGCTGGGGGGAGTGACTTAGAACCAATGTCCACACACTTGTTGCATTCCCACAGTCAGGTGTGATGACCCGGGGAGGGGGGGGGGAATACAAAAGCAACAAAGTCACAAAAACAGGTGAAGCCCCTTTAATTCCTTCAACTTGGCTTCAAAGCTCCAATTATCATTGACTGGAGACAAAAACTCCCCCACAAACAGTTGCGAAAAGGAAGAAATGCCGTTCAAACTCAAAGTACATATAAATGATAAATAGAAAAAAACAACAACAACACAAACCACACTGAAGCCATTAGTGAGACCAGGCAGGATAAGGGCTTGAAGACGTCCACAGATATCGAAATACACACACTGGGAAGGATGCCAGAACTCAGATAAGAACTGAAAGACTAGAATTATTTCATGCTTTGCTTCCAGCACTGGGCCATGCGCAGTTTGTCCTTTTAAACAGTCCTCCCAGCTGCAGCCCATGAAGGGGATCAGGGCCCTTTCCTCCCCCGTAGACCACACCACTCACGTTTCTCCCTTATCCTCTCCTCCCTGCATGCCCTAGGATGGAGAGGGGATGGGCCTGGGTCTTTCTTTGAATGCCCAGCCAGCCTCTGTCCTTCCCCAGCCTCCTCCACAACCTCCGGAGCCACACTCCCACTCCCTGTCAGCTGTTCCTCCTCTCCCTAGGAGTCAGACTCCAACAGGGGCATGACATCAGGTGATCAAAATTCAGACATTGGTCAATTGATTGATTTGATTGATGATGGTTGCCAGGGTCATGTGACACCATCAACCCTTTTCTGGAACCTTCTCAGGTGGCTTCAGATGAGCCAAGTCAATGGAGTTAGCCAGATTTGCTAGACAACTGTGTGATTCACTTAACACCTGCAGGGAGCCACTTAAACAACCGTCGTTAAAAAAAGGTTGCGGAACGGGGCAAAATCTGACTTAAACAACTGCCTTGCTTAGCAACAGGCACTTTGGGTCGTTAAGTCGAGGACTGCCTGCGCTGCCTGGTAGTCAAATAACTGGCTGGCTGGGCAGTTTGAAACCAGCAATAAAGGAGAATATTTGCAGCTCAGGGTTGAAAATGAATGATTTATGTTTTGGGTGTGTGTGTGTGTGTGTGTGTGTGCGCGTGTGTCACAATCACCCCGACTGAAGGAGAGGGTTTATGTGTGTGGGGCTTAACCAAGACCTTCCCCAGATTCTACCACCCCCTTTTCAGGATGCAAACCTGGATGGAGGAAAGACCAGACAGCCTTAGTACAGTGGTGGTATTCAGCCGGATCGCACCGGATCGGGTGAACTGGTAGCAAGGATGTGGCTCGCACCGGATCGGGTGAACTGGTATCAAGGATGTGGCTCGCACCGGATCGGGTGAACTGGTATCAAGGATGTGGCTCGCACCGGATCGGGTGAACTGGTAGCAAGGATTTGGCGTGGGTTGCCCAACCGGTAGTAAGTTCTGGCTGGCCACACCCCCGACCCAGTCGCCCTCCCGCCTGATGCTCGCTCACCCCGCCCGACATTCGCCTAAGGTATTTCTTTTTTTTTCCCCCCCC